AAAAAAAAAGAGTTCCAGTTTATCAGGTTTTTTTTTTTTTTTTTTTGTGTGTGTGTGTATGTGTGTGTGTGTGTGTATGTTTGTACAGCTGCATTTCATCACAGTTTTTAGTTGTACTTCCTTAATGACTAATGATGTTGAACATTTTTTTCAGGTGTTTATTCTTCATTTTAAAAATCTTCTCTGGTAAATTATCTGTTCAATACTCTGGCAAATTTAAAAATAAACTTGGATTATTTTCTTATTGTTAAGTTTTTAAAAGTTCTTTGTGTATTTTGGATGAGTCCTTCTTCAGATGTGTTCTGCAAATATTTGCTCCCAATCTGTGACTTGCCTTTTCAGTCTTTAACAGTGTCCATTGCTGAGCAGAAGTTTTTAATTTATTAAAATACATCTTAACTGCTAGGTGGTGCACACCTGTAATCCTAGCTAATTGGAAGGCTGAGGCAAGAGGATTGCAAAGTTCAGCCCAATCTGGGCAACTTAGAGAGACTCTGGCTCAAAATAAAATTTAAAAATGCGGGGCTGGGGATGTAGCTCATCGTAGACTGCTTGCTAGCACGTGTGAGGCCCTAGTTCAATCCCCATTGGGGGAAAAAAATCCAGCTTAATTATTTTTTTCTTCCATGGATTGTGTTTTTGGTCTGGTGTCTAAAAATCTTATCACCATACAAAGGTAACCTAGAAAATGGCAACATTTTCTTCTATAAGTTTTATAGTTTTTCATTTTACGTTAGTTCTATGATCCCCCCCCCCCCCGCCAGCTTTCAGTACTGGAGATTGAATTCAGGGTTGCTTTACTACTGAACTATGTGTCAAACATCAAAAGTTGTAAGGCGTGGGAGCACATGTCTATAATTTCTGTTATTCAGGAGGATGAGGTAGAAAGTGGCAAATTCAAGGCCAGTTTGGAAAACTCTGCAAGACCCTCTCTCAAAAGAAAAAATAAAAGGGTCTGATGACTGACATATCTCAGTGGTAAAGTGCCCCTGAGTTTGATCCTCAGTACACACACACACACACACACACACACACACACACACACTCACACACACAGTAAATGCTGAAAGGGACATAGGATGATTTTTTTATGTAGATAGCATCTGGGACCTCTGCCCATTAAATCTCAGTAGCATTTCCAATCATTGTGGCATTTAAAATGCTCCTAAAGAAACCAGAATGCCTCTGGAGAAGTTCTACCTGCTTTAAGAACCACAGCTTGAAAAAGAAATGCTATTATTATGTATGATTTTATTGTATCAAGCCAGGGGCACTCATAAATGGTTCCTTTAAGTCTCTATGATTATAGTTTTGTACCATTTCTCACCGTTTTACAAATAAGAAAGCAGGTTTAGAGAGATTAAGCCACTTGTCCCAGGTCACCACAGTGAGTGAGCAGCAGTTATGAACAGCTCTAGCTCTAGGCCTTACCATGCCCAGCTCCCTCACCCCCCTACCCCCCACTGCATTGGAAAACTATGGGTCTCTGGTTTAGGGCACAACAGAAAAATTACTGGAACTTCAACTCCCACCCTCACCTCTATCCCCTGGAAATGCCGGTGCCCTGGCTTTGGAATCTATGAGCTGCCTTCCTGGTGGTACTTAGACTCCTCAGCCCCTCCCTGCGCCCCACGTACCCACCCTTCCTGCCTCATTTCCATGGAAGGGCTGCTCTTCAGGAAAACAAGCTAAACTCTGCTTCCAGTTTCCTGCTGGGTTTCAAAAGGGGCAGCAGTTGTTTTATTTGATTTATTTTTTATTCCAGATTTCTCTTCCTGGTAGCTAGGTGTAGTGACACATCTGCCTGAAACACGGGAGACTTGGGAAGCTGAAGCAGAAGGATGGCAGGTTTGAGGCCAGACTCAACAATTTAGCAAGGCCCTAAGCAACTTAGATCCTGTCTCAAAATTTAAAAAATTAAAAAGGTCCGGGCTGGGGTGGTGGCTCAGTGGTACAGCGCCTGCCTATCATGTACGAGGCACTGGGTTTGCTTCTCAGYACCACATGTAAATGAATAAAAGTCCATTGACAACCAAAAATTTTTTTTAAAAAATTAAAAAGGTCTGGGGATGTGGTATGATGGTTAAGCACTCCTGGGTTTAATCCCTGGTACACAAACAAACAAAAACCYAGATTACTCCCCCTGGGAGTCTGAATTGCCCCCTGGGACTGGCCTGGAAGGCTGTGTAATCTCTCACTCAACAGTGTCTCTCCCTTCCATATCCAAACTAGCATGCTCTGCTTCTCTTTCCCCTCCAAGAATATCCCTGCTTCAACCGTATGGGAATGTAAAAAGAGCACCTTCATTCACCAACTCCTTAGGGGATCTCGGCTCTAATGACCTAGCATCATGATTCTCAGGCAGGAATTGGCTGGCCACTTATGGATCTTTATCCCTGGAAGTATGGAGTGATGTGACAGAAAAGGGACAGAGAAATAGAACATATCTTCTGGATCCCTAAATGTTTCTAAATGGTAAGTGAGAATATCACTTAAAATACCTGAATTTAAGGGGCTGGAGTTRTGGCTTAGTGGTAGAGCACTTGCCTGGCATGTGTAAGGCCCTGGGCGCGATCCTCAGCACCACATTAAAAAAACAAAAAAAAAAGAAACCTGAATTTAATAACAAATATGGAGGTGTCATTGAACGGAATAGAAAATATCCATGAATGTTTGGGATTAAGCTGTGACTTGGAGAGATTCCTCGCTCTTGAATGTTCTGTAGCCTATCCTTTCTCCCTTCCCTTTGTACCTCATCTCACCCTCAGACCATCAGAACTATATGTTCACTTTCCTCTCACTTCAGGATAAAGCTCAGCACTGACTTGTGACATCTATGTGATTATCAGGTTTTTATGGTAATATAAACTTGTTCCAACTCTTCTACCCCCCACAATGCAGACAGCCTCAGCAATATAGTGAGGTCCTGTCTCAAAAACTAAAAAGAGCTGGGGATGTGGCTCAGTGGTTAAATGTCCCTGGGTTTAATAACTGCCCCCTCTACCAAACAAACAAACAAACAAAAAAACCCAGTAACCATATTCCTTATCATATTGAGCTTATATTTATTTTATATGCTGTAGATTTGCTTTTTCTCCCCGGGGTCTTGGCTGGAGTTGTTACAGTAGTATAGGATAATGGCTATGAAATATGCCTTCTGGAATATTCCTAGCTCTATAAAATGGCAACAATGTAGTTAAATTTCTTCATCAGGCACCAAAAAAAAAAAAAAAAAACCTCTAACCTCATTGAGCTTGCAGTTTAACAAAAGGATAAAGTAATATGTGATAGGTTTAATGAATAATGTATTTCTTAGGAGATGATTGCTGTGGGAAAAATTGAGTAAGGAAGATCTGGTGTATTGGAAGGGATGAGGATATGCTTCAGAATTATAGAATGGTCAAGGTAGCACTATTCAAAGGTGACATTGAACAAAGACTTAAAAAAATGAAAGAGTAAGCCATGTGGACTTACGAGTGAGCCAATTCCAGATTGAAGAACAGCTAGGTCCTAGGGCAAAGGTACTGAAGCAGGAGAATGACTGACATTTTTATGGGAAAGTAAAGGTACTAATGTTGCTGGGTGAAATGACAGAAAGGGAGAAGAGTGTACTTCAGAGAAGTCAAGGGGGGCACAAATGATATAGAGAATTGTTGGCCATTGTTAGGGCTTTGGCTTTTATTCTGAGTATCATGGGAAGTCCTTGGAGAATTTTGAGCAGGGAATATACTTGATCTGATTTAGTTTTGTTGCTGTTCTTTGTTCATTTGGTGCTGGGATGGAACCCATGTTAAGCACATGCTAACATGCCCTGACTTAGGTTTTAAAAGGACCCCCCCCCCTGCAATGTTTTCCACGTGCTGTGAACAGGCTGAAGGAGGAGCAAGAATTGAAGCAAGGAAATCAATTACTAGTCATCTGAGTAAGGCAAGGTCATTTGGACCAGGATGCTAGCAATGGACATGGTTAAAAAGGGCTCAAAATTTGAACATATTTTAAAGTTGAATTGGCAGGATGTCCTGATAGATTTAAGGTATGATTCCCAGGCGTTGGGCTTGAGCAACAGGAAGGATGGAGGTAGCAGTAACTGAGATGGGGGAAACCGTGGGTAGAGAAGGTTTGGGGAGAAAGATCCAAAGTGCTAGTTTGAGATGCCTGTAAGACGTTTAAGAAGAGATAGTTGACTACATGATTCTGTGGTTTCAGACAACACATAAACTTCACTAAAGATATATGCAGGAAGCCATCTATGAGCTGTGTGTGAACTGAGCACCGTTGGAGCCATTAAGTAGGGAAGTCAGGTTTTGGGAACTCCCAGGCAGAACCCACTGGTAGGATAATACCTAATTCATGTAGGTTCCCTGTTCTAGCTCATGGTTCAAATTCAAATACAGCTCCCCAGAAGGGTAACCCTGGCTGTTTGGATGTAGATGAGTGTAGCTTGCCAAAGGCCAATCAACCTGTTTACTGCAAGACTCCTGCCACACAAGACTCCTCCCACTGAAACCTTATCCCTGCCTTTGATGTACTTCCCCTTAAATAAAGAATTGGGGCGTTTTCCAGTTTTTCAGTTTCAGTTCCTATCAGGACTGGAAGACCCATCAAGTGCTCTGCTATTAAAATCTAATCTTTGACTTTGTCTTATTTCTTACTGATTATTTTAGACTTTTTATTTTCCCAGGTGGTTCACACCTCCTGAGCAGGAACCTGCTCTGTCGGGTTGCTGGCCATCCTGTGATATCTAAATTGCCTGAAAAAGCTTTTAATTCAAGGCCTGAAAAATGGTAGAAGCTCAATAATGTGAACTGCAATGATGAAGATGGGGGGTGGTGTGACTTTTTATCACCCACCTCTGAGGGTACTCTAACTCCCAATTTCACCTGTCGTAAGAGGGAGGAATCTTCTTAACCTTTTATTATTTGTTTATTTATTTTAGGATACTGGGGATTGAACCTAGTGGGGCTTTACCATTTAGTTACACTCCCAGCCCACCCCACCTCCTTTTAAAACATTACCAGTGTTATCTATATTTCAAGTTGCCATGGTAGGATATTGGGAAAGAAGTTTTCGATTAGCAATAATTATGCCTTGAATAAGCTTCATTGGCTATAACACTGCCACTGGGCAAACTGATTCCTAACCTTTAAAAAAAWTTTTTTTAAGAGATCTTTTACTAAATTGATTTAGGGCCTCACTTGATTTATGAGGTTGGTCTTGAACTTGAAATTCTCCTGTCTTAGATCACAGGCATGTACCACCATACTTGACTTTATTTTTGAGACAAGTTCTTACTGAATTGCCAAAGCTGATCTCAAACTTGTGATGCTCTTGCCTCAGCCTCTCAAGTCACTAGGATTATAGAGATGTACCACGATATCCAGCCTTATCCCTAATTCAGCTAAAACAAAGTTGGATTTTCCACTGCTCCACCTTGATTTTTATTTATAACATAAATAGTACAACAGTAGAGGGAATTTTAAAAAGAAAACCTCCATAGTATACCTAATCATTTTTATTTTTCYATGTGTTCTCCATTTTGTCTGATCTTAAAAATACAGTTTAAAATAGTTGAATCATGATGCATGTATCCATATGTACCCTGGTTACTTCAAGTGATGTTGTCCCAAAGATATTTTCCAAGTTACCACATAGTTTCCATAATTACAATTTTTAATGGTTGCAAAATAATCCATATTTACTTGTCCCTATTGCTATTGTTACTTATTTAGGCTGCTTTTATACATATCACTATTATAGCTAGGGCTGCGATCTCATGCATTAACAATTTTTTTCCCTAGGATATATTGCCAAAAGCAGACTTACTAGGTTAAAGGGCATGATCGTTTTTGTAATTCTCAATGCATAATGCCAAACTGTGGAAATGTATCAACCTTTATGCCAAAGATTGGATCTTTTTATAAGGAAAAAAAATAAAATTAAACACATCAAACTAGAACCATTTACAATAGATTCACTAATGCCATTTAAATGAAACTACATGGAGAGTTGTTTTTTTTTAATGTAAACTTTTTTTTTTTTTTTGTACCAGGGATTGAATCCAGGGGCACTGTACCACTGAGCCCCATATCCCCAGCCATCCCCACCTCCTTCTTTTTTTTTTTTTTTTTTTTGAGACAGGGTCTCACTGGCTTTGAGCTTTCAATCCTCCTGCCTCAGCCTTCCGAGCCGCTTGGATAAAAGGACTGTATTAGCACGCTTCGTTCAGAGATCCTTTTAGATAGGCTACAGAGCTCATTTTTGTAACATTTTTTGAGCTTTGCATTAAACTATTAACTATTGTTAGGTATGGTGAATGCTCTTATATAATCTTGTGTTACCTGTACTGAGAGTTGATTTAAAGAACTAATTTTTTAAAGATCTATATTACCTTTTTTATATTATTACTCTTTTGTTAAAATATTCTAGTTTGGTATCTCCCACCCTTTTATTACACTAATGATTTAATATGGTCCTACTCCACCTGCTGTTTTCTGCTCGCTTCTCTTCCTTTCCCTTCTTATCCTTTCCTGATCAATTCAATCCTAACGTTATTAGGTGGGGCTGAGCAAGGTCAGCATCTTCTGGCTGGGGTCAGGGGAGCCGTTGCTCTGATCAAGGTGGGTGCTGAATGCTGAGCAGGGGTAGGCGGAATGGTGTTTATGTGGAGGRGGTGTCAGAGATGGGAGACTGGTTGCATACAGGGACTCAGAAAACAATGAAGACTGTGAGGATAATGAGAAAATGGTTTCTTGTTATTAGAAAAAGGAGGAATAAATATAGAAAGGAAGTAAATGAAAATAAGTCCTATTGGATTGGGATCAGAAGCACCAATGTGRACTCCTTTTGTTTAACTTTTTTTTWAATTCTAATTTGTTATATGTGACAGCAGAATGCATTAAGGTTCATATGACTCCTGGTTTTTGATATTCAGAAAGTCCCCAAGTTACATTTTTTGTATAGTCCCCAAGTTACATTTGACTTAATTTTTTGACTTTAATTTTAAATTTTAAGATGGTTGTGTAAGCCAGGCATAGTTGCACAGGACTCTCATCCCGGCTATTCAGGAGGCTGAGGCAAAAGCATCACAAGTTCAAGACCAACCTAGGCAATTTGGGGAAACTCTTTCTCAAAAATAAAATAAAAAGGACTGGGTGTATAACTCAGTGATAGAGTCCTTGCCTAGCATGGGCTAAGGCCCTTGGTTCAATCCCTAGTACTGAAAAAAAAAAGTGCAAAATCACCATGCATCCAGTAGAAACTATAATTTAAATGTTTGAAATTTTGAATTTTAAAATTTTTCCAGGCTAATAATATGCAGTACAATACTCTCACGAGGTTAGGCAGGGGCAGTGAGCTGCAATTCTCAGCCATCAGAGGGGTAAGCAAACCATATTCGTTTGTTTATCTATGGTGATTGGTAGGTTCAGTGTATTAAATGCATTTTTGACACATGATGTATTTTTTATTAGGACTAACTCCATAGTAAGTCAAGGAATATCTATAATATTTATTCTGGAATTAGATCAGAGAGTGACAGTGGTGATGCAAAATGAACTGAAGCACTGAAAGCCACTGAGTTGCACATTTTTAAATGTAAACTTTTTAGGCACAGTGGTGTATGCCTGTAGGTCCCAGATACTTGGGAGGCTGAGCTGGGGACGACTTAGCCCAGGATTTGGGAGCCAGCCTGCGTAACATATTGAAACCCTGCCTCAAAAATAAATAGATGATGGACTGGGGTTGTGGCTCAGCGGTAGAGCATTTGCCTAGCATGTTCGAGGCACTGGGTTGAATCCTCAGCACCACATAAAAATATAAATAAATATAATAAAGGTATTATGTCCAATTACAAATTTAAAAAATTTTAAAAATAAATAGGTGAATTTTATGTTATGCATATTATATATCAATACAAATCATTGTATACAAAGAAAAAATATATAAACATATATATATATACAAACACACATACATATAGGCGTGCATATATTTCTTAGCTTTGTACAAGAGGAGATCAGAACATCTTATTGTATTAGAAAATAAGAAAGTAGGCCAGGCATGGTTGCACACGTCTATAATCCCAGCAACTCTAAGGCAGGAGGATTGAAAGCCTCAGCAATTTAGCAAGGCCCTAAAAAATTTAGAGAGACCCTGTCCCAAAATAAAAAAATAAAAAGGGCTAGGGATGTGACTCAGGGGTTAAGAGTCCCTGGGTTCAATCACTGGTAACCCCCCTCCTCAAATAAATAAAGTATTCAAAGAATGCTGAGGATATGTCAGAGGATATGCAAAAGCCAGTTCAAAGGGACTTCCATGGCCAAACTTAGAGCAACATCAACATCAAAATAAATAGCAGAAGTAATAGATTACAACCCACTGAATAYAATTGAAAACTCTAAGTCTATACTGATGTAAATCACTGAATAAATGGAATGTTTGAGGAAGAAAATTTGCATGGTCTCCGTAAAATATTTGCTAATTACTTAGAGAAAAAAATAAGGTTATAGCTGAGAAGCGTGGCAGATAACACTTTAATCAAATTATCAAGTTAACATCCCTAATGGGACAAATTGAAATCAGGTGCCACTTAGCAGGGTGCATTGGGAAGAAAACAACATTACTACTGTGACTTGCTGCAAAGGGAGGAGGGCATCCACACGGAAGCACGCATGGAAGCACGTCCTGGTGAGGAACATCAGAACCCAAGCATGGTCAAGAGGTCATTCCCACAGGTGCCAGGATCCAACTGGGCAAGGAGGATATCAACTCACAGGGGTAACCTGGTCCAGAGCATCAGAGACCAAGGAAGATGAAAAGGAGCAGCCTAAGGAGGGATGTTGGAACCCCACAGGCTGATAAGTTTGTCCATGCGGGGGTGGGTGGGGGGGTAGCCCCGTGTGAAAAGGGGGGGACTGAATAGGGTGAGGACAGCTTCCCTGTTTAGGACTTGATTAGCACAAGGTGATGGAGCCCAAGCAAAGTATCTACAGGGAAGGGAGAACTGGTGTGGGATGTTGGGTCCACATAGGAGGAGCAAAATTCATACCTGGCCACACCRTATTCAACCTGTAGAAATCCAAAGACAAAATTTTGAAAGAAGCTAGGAGAGGGAGATCATCTTACTAAAAACTAGAGTGGACTTTTCATCAGAAMTRTGTCAACAAGAAGAGWGGAGTGAAATATTTAAAATATTAAAAGAAAAAAAACCCCACCAACCTAGAATTCTATATTCAGTGAAGTTATCCTTTAAAARTGATAGGGATATAGCTCMGTGGTAGAGTATTCACCTCACGTGCACAAGGCCCTGGCATCAATCCCCAGGACCACATACACACAAAAGAAAAAAAGAAAAGGAAAAAAATTGGTGGAGAAATAAAATCTTTCTCAAGCAGACACTAAGGAAATCATTGCAAGCAGACTTCTTGCAAGAAATATTAAAAGAAAAATTTCAGTCAGAAGGAAAATTATATAGGTCAAAATTAGCTTTTCATACAGAAAGAAAGAGCATCAGAGAAAGAATAAAGGATAGAAAAATAAAACTTTTATTATTTTAAATTTATTTAAAAGATGTTGTAAAGCAATGTACTGAGTTGTAGCATATGAAAAAAAAGAAATGAATATACTCTTTATAACATGTTATAAAAGACAGTGGGGAGGAATTGAGAATAATTTGTTATAAGGTACTATACATGAATCAAAACGATGTGGTGTTTTCAAATTGGATTTATATCAGTTAAAAATACATATAAATATACAATTATACATATATACTTATACAAATATACATACAATACACAATTTACATGTATTTTTAACTAATATAAATCCAACTTGAAAACATGCTATTTTCTGTTTTGTGTATAGTGCCTTATAACAGATTATTCTCAATTCCTCCCCACTGTTTTTTATACTGTACACCTGTAATCCCAGTGGCTCAGAAGACTGAGATAGAAGGATTGTGAGTTCAAAGCCAGCCTCAGCCACAGTGAGGTGCTAAGCCACTCAGTGAGACCCCATCTCTAAATAAAATACAAAATAGAGTTGGGGAGATGGCTTAGGGGTTGAGTGCCCCTGAGTTCAATCCCCAGTACCAAAAAAGTGAGTGAATAAAATACACACACACACACACACACA